ATCTTATTCCAGAGCAACATTTAGAAATGTTTAATAGAACCAAGCAGGCAAATGAGTAGAAAACTTAATTTCATGAATTTCAAGTGGCTCATTCAGCTATAAGCAAGAGATGATCCACAGCAAAATCACAGGGTATGATGGAGAGACTAGAATGAGTAGTGTAAGTGTCAAACATCCCACCCTACTTCAGTCAGCTTTTCCATCACTGAGACAAAATATCCAAAGTACACAGCGTAAAAGAGGAGAGGTTTGCTGGCAGTTTCAGTCCCAGAGCAGCTGGCTCTGAGGCAGGTATACCATGGTCCGGGGTTGTGGAAGAGGAAAGTATCAGCTGCTTGGTTCATGGTAGCCAGAAAGAGTGGCAAGGGAAGGAGGCCACAGAAGAAGGGGTGAAGGACCAGGCAGACCTTCCCAGGCCATGCTTCCATGACCCACCCAGACACACCTACAAGTGTGTACTACAAATCCCTAGGCATAATCCAGAGCAAGTCAGGTTGAAACTTCTTTGCTCTAACTGCCACATTCCCAACTTCTACTGCTACCACCACCACCACCACCACCACCACCACCACCACCATTGCTGCTACTTCTCCTCCTCCTCCTTCTATTTGTTTGCTTTTTTTTTTTTTTTTTGAGACAGGGTCTCACTATGTAGATCGAGGTGGCCTTCCACTCACTGTGTAACCCAGAGTGGCCTTGAACTCAAACTTGTGGTGAGCCTCCTGCCTCTGCCTCACCAGTCTTCACACCCAGCTTTTACCCCATTTCAACTTGCTATGCAAACACATCTCCTGAAACCATACTTAATCTCCAAATAAAGACTATAGCAACTTCGTAATTTTAGCTACCATATTAAAATTACTCTGCTTACAACCAGAAAGGCAATGCTCCATTCCAATAAAGTCTTAAAAGTTCCAGCATTTTTGGAAAGTTCAAGTTTCAAGGCAAACTCTTAGTTATGAAGCTCTGAAAAATTAAAATCAAGTTGCATAATCCCAAGGTACAATGGCACAGGGTGAACATTCCCATTCCAAAAGGGAGAAAAGGAGAGATAGAAAATACCTGGCCCAGAACAAGACTGAAACCCAGCCAGACAAACATGAGTCCTGTAGCTCCATATCTGGTGTCCTGGACACATGGGGTGAAGTGTGAGTTCTAAAGGACGTGGGTAGCACCATCTCTGCGGCCTTGCCTACTGCAGCACGCAGCCTCTGTCTTGGGCTGGCTCCACTCATGGCCTGCAGCTCTCAAAGCAGACACCCCATGTTTCTGGCCTCTCTGACTTTCTGAGGTCTCCACTGCACCTTTGGCTTCATTCCCGCAGCTTTTTGCACTGCCCTCTCAGGGGCTCCTCACCTGGCCTCTCAGGCTTTCCTTTGAATCTGGTAGGAAGCTTCCCTGTTCCCACAACTCTTGCATTCTGCATGCTAGCAAAACCCGCATCGTGTGGATGATGCCAAGAACTAGTGTGAGCAGAAGCAGTAGCCAGGGCTCCTTGGACCATGGCTTGTTCAGACTCTGAGTGCTTGGATAGTTGAGCACAGTGAAATGATTCCTGAGAACCCAATTCCCTAGGAAGCCCTTGTGAAGCAGAGTTCTCAAAGACTGGCTTCTCCATAGAAAGGTTGGCCCTTTTGAACCCTTGATCCTGCAGTGGTTGGGATCTTGCTGATTCCTGCCATTCTCTCATGGAGTCTTTCTCCATTGTGCCCATACAGAGGTAATTGGTTTCTTTTTCATGATACTGATACCTTTAGCAACCACATTTCCTTTGGCTTCAACTTTACATGTGGTTCCTTTGGGGGCAAAATTTAAGTTTTTAATGATGTTTTGTTCTGTTCTTTTTCTTCATTGTCACTATATATCTGGCTAAAATCAGCCAGCAGTACTCATGCTACAGTCCGAATGTTAGGCTATCTTGAGATTTTCTCCACCAGATTAATAAACTTGCCATCCTTAATCTCAGTTTCCTCCACAGTCTCAAGAACTAGAAGAAGTCTAGATAAATTTTCCCCCAGAATGTAATATACATGCCCTGTAGTCCAACTACCAGTGTAGCCCTTGTTCCCAACTGAAACAAACCTTGCTTTCACTGTGTGCATTGCTGCCACACCCGGTCTCCTGAGTTCCAATCAGAATCATCCATCCAGAACTGATCATGGAATCCCAAGGCATCTCTAGCCTACATCTCCAAATTTTTCTAAATTCTGCCCCCAAACCAATTCTGAAAGCTTCTGAACCATACTGCCAGGTATAGTCACAGCAATGACCCCATTTTCCTGATACAAATTTTCTGTATTTGTCAGCTTTCTTATTGCTTGGACGCAAAACCAGCATCCACAATTTAAATGACAGAAGGTTCTATTTGCTCATGGCTTCAATACATGATCAGTTGGCTCTGGGCAGAGACAGCATGGCAAAAGTGTGTGACAGAGCAGAGCTGCTCAGTTCATGGTGCAGATGGACCACAAAGCTATGCCTCCATGACCACCCAGACCCACCTAGATATGTGCTCTCCCAGTCCCTGCCCAGGAAGATCCCAAAACCACTCAAGTGGAACTCTACCCTAACTGCCACATATTCTTAACTGGCCACCACAAATATAAATTCAAATTTGAAGCTATAAAGCAAAACTAGGGAAAAGAAAATCTAAAGAATATCATCATGGCCTCAAGGTAAATGCTGTGATTTATTAAGAACAAAAATTGATTTATCAAACCTAGAAGGAGAAAACTATATTGATTTGGATTTTCTAGCTTCGGAAAGTCGCTTTTTAAATCTTGGTCTTTCTGAGGAACCCAGGCCAAGGTAACATCAATGTAAGAAGTCTTGTCCCATGGAGTGGGACAGAGAATGGAGGAGCAGCAGGATGACGAGAGGGGGTCAGTTTTATTACATTAGCTATTTGATGGAGCAATGCAGGATGTGAAAACAAGAATGTCTGCACAGAGAGTCAGAGCGTCTGTGAGAACTATATACAGATACCTAACTATAGATAGATATCTTTAGATATAGGTATCTTTATATACACAACTGTGTGTGGCTGAAAGAAAATTAGCAAAAATGTCTTGTCACGTCTCTTCCCTTAAACTGAACTCTGTTTGAGATGATTCCAGACAAATGTCTAGGTTATTTCTGAAGCTCTCCAGGGAAGCAAATATGACAGCCTCTTAGTATTTTTAAATGGTAATATGGTTAGTGCTAAGGGCACAGCCTCTCTCAGCTTCGCCATTTAGTGACTACGTGACCTTAGGGAAGTCTTTTCACCCTTCTAAGTCTCAGTTTCCCTTTCTATAAAGTGAGGCTGTGGAGTTGTGGAAGAAACTGAGGGCTGTGTGTTTAGCTCTTAGACATGGTACCTGGCTATTGATGGATATGCTGCAGAAGTTGGCTAGTGGTATTAGCACTGCAGACAGCAGAATGAAAGGTTAGTCAATGCATGACCCTTTTCAGTGTTTCCTTGCTCTATGAGGTCCCCACAAGGGTCCTTCAGATCGCCTCAGAAGACCTGCCGAGCAGCCCTGCACTGCAAGGTAACTGCTGAATGACCTGTTTTGCTAGAGCCAGTGCCAACACATGCATGTGTCCACAGGAAGATTGTTCTTCATGATTATAGTGATTATATATTTTATTCTCTTCATTCCAACTTCCAAAGCTGCCCTAAGTTGCCAAAGAAGCGAACCAGAATCAGAAGGAAATGGCCATTGTTAGAGGGCTGAATGCAAGGCTCAGGAGCACAGCAGTTTATAGAATGTCAGATGAGATCAAAATACAACTTTGGGCTTGGAAACAGCCCAAGTGCCATCAACTGGAAACTGGATAAAGAAGATGTGGGTTTTTTATAAAATGGAGTACTACTCAGCCATAAAGAACGAGAAACTAGAGTCATTTACAGCTAAATGGATGCATATTGAGGCCATACTCTTAAGTGAAATAAATAAGACACATATGTGTAAATACCAAAGTTTCTCTAGTGTAAGAAACTGAGAGTGTAAATAAGGACTAAAAGGATTAATAACTAATAATTGATACTTTGAAATAGGAAAAGGTCCAAAGGGGTAGGGGTCGTGGGAGGGGAAGGGGAAAGGAAAGAATGGAAAGGGAAAATTATGAGAAAAGAAAAAAAAATGGAAACAAAGTATGTAAATAGGGAAGGGTTTAGGGGTGAAGGGTGCACAGGTAATGGGGAAAAAATGAGAACCAAGATACATCATGTACAAGTACAAGCACCCAAAGATAAATGTAAATGTATAGCTAAAATGCACCAATAAAAAAATTTAAGAAAAAAAAATACGGCTTTGGGCCTGTCTTCCTGATACAACAGCCTGTTGATTAAAATGTAATGAAACATAATGAAAGAGCATCATGGGGCTCTGATTTTTGTCTTGAGTAGTTGTTGTTCTAATTGGTTTTGTTGTTGTGTGTCTCCTTGTGTTCCACTCCAAATTATTACCTTTCAGCAGCAGTGGCTATATAATGGGGGAGTTGGGCAGGGAGTAGTGTCTTGCTACATATTCAAGGCTGGCCTTGAACTCATGGTGTAGCCCAGGCTGGCCTCAAACTTGCAGCAAACCTCCTGCTTTAGCCTCCTGGGGTGTGTGCCACCCCACCCAGCTGATTTGGTGGCATTTTAAGAAGCATCTCAATAGTATTGTTGGAAGCCTGTCTTCAAGGGAGTCTCTCAGGTGGCATGGTTATAGAAGCCACACACTTATAAGTACTTCTTTCCCAGATCAAATGATGCTGTGGGGGGGGGGGGTGCTGGGGACTGAGCCCAAAAGCTCGTGCGTGCTAGGCAAGTTCACCACTGAGCCACAATACCCACTCCTAAATTGAGTGATATTTGGTGAGATCGGCAGTCCCAGGCTTCAAACTGCCACCTCTCCCATGGGCAAGAGTCCTACCACTCACAGAGACCCCCCACGGCTCCCTGTCTGCACCTTGTCACCCCCACGCTGGCCCACTCTGCACTCTGGCCTGACAATGTGATTTGTGCCCAGGTGTCCAGGAGGCTGTGGTGAGCTGCCTGAACAAAGAGACTCGGGAGCGTGCTGATATGACCCTGTGTGTGACCAGCCGCCGGCCCCCACAGCACCTGAAACCATGCAACTTGGACCCCTGCCCGGGAAGGTAAGGGATGCACTGTCTGCCTTGCCTGCCAGGAGCATAAGCAGGGCTTGGTGCCTCTTTCTACGGGCAAGACTGGAACACTTATTGTTACCCAATATTTTGAAAACCAATTAGCATCACTTCAAACTTTTAGTCAAATCCACTTAAATTTAATTGAAACCAGAGCTTTGGAATTCCAGCCCAATCGATGGTCATGCACAGAGTGCAAAAGACTCCATGCACTGAAGTGTGCCTTGTGGTATGGCTGGAATGTACACGTGCCTCTCTGTTCCTTTCCCCTAAAGGAAGAGGAACTTACCACTGACCTTATGGTCTGTGCCACCTTTAGCCTATGTCCCAAGCCTTCGCACCATAATAATGAATTGGCTTATGAATTACAGGGTATAAAGAACTGAAGCATCTGGGTGGTATAATTGACCCACTGTGAAATCTGTATGCACACAGCATGCAGATTCATTACAGCATGCTCTAGGGTGTGTGTGTATCATTCCACATGCATAAAATCAATTAGAGCATTTCATTGTTCAGCCTTGCCTGGGCCTCATTATTGCCCAACTTTGGGTCTTAGTTAATCAATCCAATCATTACTTCAGTCCACACAATTTTATGGTGTCTTGAGAAATTTGCCTTTTAGATTCTTTTTTGAGCAAATCACATGTATGATTCTAGTTTGGAAGCGAGATATTTAAAGAAGCAAAGCCAGACTTTCAACTCTGCTGATGGGCTGACGAATGTGTCTGGATAAGGTCATATCCTACATATGAGAGGAATGCTGTTTCTCAGAGACATTTCCCTCTCTCCAGCGTGTACCATAGAAGAAGCACTGCATCACTGTCGGCCATGCGTCATAGTGTGCTGGTCAAACCGATGCACTGCTTGTCTGCCTTCATTTGGGACCTAGAGAAGGCGGGTGACAGGTCGTCTTCAGTCAAATGCTGGCATAATCCTACAATGATGCTTCTGGTGGTCACCAGAGGTAGCTCATATACTGATTTGAATGGTGAACTTGGGCTTTCTCCTTCAAATACAGGAATGGAGAAGACCACTAGTGCCACATTCTCCAAGGCAATCTGAAATCAGCCACTGCTTGGAGTAACACCCCACTCATAAAAATACCAGCCAGTAAGCAGGGTCAAGAGCTAGACCCAGCAAAGTTTGAATCCAGTAAATGGAATCCCAAGTAGCTTTCTTTTCTGTCCTTGACCCACGTGGTCCTGAACTTAAGTTCTCCAGCTTAGTGAGCCTGAGACCTAAATGCATGGATGAGGACACACATTTTCCTGTTCATTTATAGCCCCCTCCTGCCCCATGCAGAAGCAGTGGATTTGGCATGGACAGCCAGCAAGGCCTTTGATGAGATCAACAGGTCTGGCTTCTCATCCTACCTCTTTCCAGCCAGCTGTGTAGCCTTCTGCAAGCTGACCGTTCCCTCTGTTTCCACAATAGCAGAATGGACTGATTGTGTACAGATCATCTGAGGTCACAATGTCCTCCTCAAATATCCTGTGATTTTTTATTAATCTTTACAAAGAAGAATCAGACAGCTACTCCTGCTTCTTTGTGCTAATAACTGCTGCCATTTATATTCTGTTTGTTACTGTCCCCTGAAAAGCAAGCAAAAGGATCTTCCTAACGTGACTTGTAATAACATGAAAATACTATGTTGAGCTGAGGTGATGCTTTCAGAACCTGGGACTGGCTGGAAGCTGCTGGAGTTTGTGGTCACTAAATCTACCCCTTCCTTGAGTGGCAAAATGAATATGATACAAGGTGTTCTTTCCCACCCTCAATGCATGATTATGGTTAAATTAGATAACCCTAATTTATTCTGAGACATTCTTATTGACTCATAGACAAAGACCGTGTTGCACTCACAATATTGCATTTGCTCCAGAGAATTCCAGTTCTCTGATTTCCTGGTAGCCAACTGTTGGATTCACAGGCAAGTCCTCTCACAGCCAAAGATTTCTTGGGTCAGCACTTGAGAGTTGAGCACTTGTAGAATGATGCCAAGTAAAACAGTAAGGAGTCCAGAGTGCAGAGGCTGCTCGGACTTGTTCTCTCCACCTCCCACCCAACAGCCAAGGAGATTTCCATCTTAGAACAGAGAGGCATATTATAGCAGTGCTTCTGCGGTGGAATGCTTCAGGACAACATCGGGAAAGTCTCTTTCTTCTCTACTTGGTGTAAGTCACACACAGAAGAGACAGTATTTAGGTCAGAGCACAGTACAGTGTGGTTTCCTGTATGTCTTGGATCCAGTTGGGAGTCATTCAGATCTTCCGCTCACATTTCTTGTTCCACGTGGTGCAGTGTTATCTGTCTTCTGTTGAACTCAGGTTTCTGTGTCTTCTGCTGAACCAAGATTTCTGAACGTGGTCTTTTGGGCTCTTGTCTATGCTGACATCCATGTGTTAGTTAGTTAGTTAGTTATTTTGGTACCAGGGATCGAACTCGGATCCTTGTGTTTGCGAGGCAGGTGGCGGAACCACTAAGCTAAATCCCCGGCCCTCCATGTGTTTTTTAAAAAGAACAAAAACTAGGGGAAAGGAAAGAAGGGAAAGGAAAAATGATGAGAAATGGAAAAAATGGAAACAAAGTCTTTGTAAATAGGGAAGGGTGGAGGGGTGAAGGGAGGGCTAGAAATGGGGAAAAAATAAGAACCAAGATGCTTCATGTAAAGATACAAGTTCCCAATGAGAAATATAAATATGTTGTATACCTAAAATGTACCAATAAAAGAATTTAAGTAATACAAAAATAAAAAACAAAAACATACTGTTTTCTGCAGGGCATACAGAAATGTTGCCATCTTGGCTTATGTTTCTGAGAGGCAGCCCTGGTTGAGGGAGTCGCTTCCCCAGCAGTTCTCAGTTCTACTGAGTGCCAGTGGGGAAGCCACTTTCTCCTTGCATGTGGTCAGTTATCCGATCAATGGCCCATGCTGGAGACCCCACAGGGTAAGTCCTGTCTTCGGGAGCAGCCTTTCTAAGATTCAGCTTGCCTTCTCTGATTTACACTGTGCAAAGCTGCACTTGTATTAGAAACACATGTTTGGCTTTCATCAGGTTTGAGCAGTTACTTTCTTATACCTGGTTCTTCACAACAGGAAGGGTGTGTCCTCAAGCTGAAGTTGTTCTACTTTTTTCCAACATGTGTGTATAAATGCGTGTGGGCGGGTGTACAATGCTTACATTTTTTAGGGCATTCTCCATTGAAGAGGCTAAATTTTAAAGTCTTTACTTTCAACTCTATGTCTTAATTCTCCTCTCAATATCCCTAGCATCTAGGAATTAACACAAGCAGGTGCTTATGAAGCATTTAATAAATGTGTATGAAGGAAGAGGCCCTGTTTATAAGTTGCAGTTTAGACCATATTATTAATGAAAGCTGAAAGAACATGTGCTCTCTCTCTTCTCCATCTCCTTTGTCTCCTCTCTCCCATCTTCTACATGATGCTGAACGTACTATTCTTGGATTCCTTTCCTTAAGCCAAAGGCTTTAAATATGAAGTTAAAATACAAATTCCCTTAGAATCATAACCCTTTGTATTATCAGCTATATACAGCAATGTATCCCCAAAGTAGGAAAGCAAGGGCAAGCTTTAATGCAGGGGAGAGAGCAGCTGGAGATGGACTAACCTGTTAGCACTCCAGGAAGTAGTGTGACTTTGAGGAAGGGTGGAAAATAGTGTATGGAAGGCAGATGTTAATCCATTCTTAACTTTGCCCAAAATTGGCCACAAGAAATTAGGAACATTTTTGCTTGTGAGCCACCAATGAGAGTTTTCCTTCCAAGTTGATAACAATGACAGTATCATTACAAGGAGGAGAAATCCTTTCGTGCACCTTTACCACTGTCTGGTAATTTGTGTCCAAAATCCACACCACCCTGCTAACCCTTCCATGCTGTTTTAGACTGGATCAGGGGAGAAATGTCCAAAAAGAGGTTGTTAGGGTTTGTCATTAGGAAAGAAGTCAGCCTCCCATTCCCAAAAAGAAAGTTTTCTAAGTGCTCTAATAATGTAAGTAATACATGAAGGGTCTCACTCTTTAAACCCCCAGCACTGAAGAAATAGTAAAAACAGAAAGGCACTGCTCCCTTTCATCAGCATGCTCTGCCCTTCAGTCCCGCCATCCCCGGGAGATTGCTGCAGCAGACAGTGTGCATACAAGCTTCCTGTGAGTTTATATACACACACGAACATATACAAATGTGTAAGGATTTTCCCTTCTATATTTATGAGATCTCATTGCATATATTGTTGGCAGCTTGAATTTTCATTTCATAATATGCACTTAAGATCTTTTATATCCATAGGGCCCTCAAAATTAAAGAGCTGACAGACTTGTGATCAAATCCTGTTCTATCATTCTTAGCTGTCAAGTCTTCAAGGCCATACATCTTTCTGGATTATGATTTTACTCACCTCTGCAATTGGATCATGGTCATCACTCAGGGAAAAAAAAATCATTGTCTTCTTTTATTTTTTGATGAGAAATACTTCTATTTTAAAAGAAATAGAATTTGATTGGATTTTGTTTTCAACATATTTTTTCAGTGCTGGGACCAACTAAATCTTAATAATTAACATAACTATCTCCCTGGTTTATAACAGCAGTGACATGAACAGCCCAAGGAAAACCAGAAAACAGTATCTTTAAAAAGTGTGTGACTGTTATTAATTATAAACATTTGATAGCCTGGCCAGTGTGTGTTGAAAAGATTTGGTAAATGTATCTGAAGAAGGGGAATGAAGTAAGCAATGAAAGCCAGATGGCTGAAAATGAAGGAAATTCCAGGCAATTTCTGAAGCTTTGTTCTAACATACTTTTTAAACTAAACTTTTATTTCTGTGCAGTAGAGAACAGCTGAGTGGTGCAGAATAGATGAGCAGTGAGAGGCAAGAAAGCTCATCGTTCCAGGGGCAGTACTAGGGTTCAGCCATCCTCACACCCCCTGCCCCACCACAGCTTCATTCTCTTTGCTCAGACCTAGGA